CTTAACACGCATGTGATAAGGCACTCAGAAACTGCTCCAAAGGGAGCCCGCGGGTATCGCCGGGTAGCAAGTTCCAGAGCTCAATAGTCAAGGGAAAAAAACTATCATCAGTTATTTCATGATTTAGTTGTTCTTTGACGTATACAGTGATGCCTCCGCCTCGACCGGAAGGACGTACTAAGCCACTGTAAGTATAACCAGCATATCTTGGCGGGACATTATTTGGTGTTAGCCAAGTTTCAGAAAATGTTAGGGCGTTGAACTTTATTGCTAAAGAGTCGAGAAACACATCAAGATTTTCTTTTTTGTTTCGAGCGTTTAGATACTTCGAGTGTTTAGATGCAGGACACTGAAAGTGTGCGAGCTTTGATTAACCAGCTTGTTGAAACCGCTTATGTCATAGTACTGGCTATCGGCAAGATCCATTTTGAAGTCTTGTTAGTATAAGGATTGATCGGATAGTCTACATTGTCATTTTTGCGACATCTGCAGGCTCAACAATCTTAAGAATCTCGGACGACTCTGTTTTGCGCGCGAACACCTTGCCACCGTTTGTCCACACGAACTTCCATTTTTTTTTTCGCCTCTTAGCAACTGCTAAGCCGAGCAGCTGCCTCGCGTGTTTCGTCAAGTTCTCATTCACATATATGGGTTCATTTGATTTGAAACCCATATCTTTGGCAGGCGGCCTTTTCTTTCGGGCTTTAGTTAAGACAGCGTTCCTTTTGTCACGTCGGACAAAACGAACGATTACACTCTTGTCTCCAGATCTGCCAACAGGTATTCTATGACACATGTTTATGTCTGATGACAAGATTTCTTCCCCAATGGCATCGCCAAGCTTCTTTACAATTTCCATTGGGTCTTCATCACTAGGGGCACCTCTCATTTCCAAGTTATTCACCAGAGTGTACTGCTAGAGCTCATCAACCTTACGTTGCAATTTTTTGTTTTCTGTTTCAAGTTGGTCATTTTTTTGTCTAGCATGTTGCAGCTCTTCACGGAGCAACTTAATTTCATCTGACAGTTGCTTAACGTAGTCACAGACTTCGCTACAAAATTTTACACTTTTGCGTATATCTCTTAGTTCGGCTCACATTTCACGGCGGAAATCATCGAAAGCTTTCGTCATCTCCTTTGTCATGATGAAAACAGTCAACTTCAAATATACAAACACAGACCTACAGCCCGGCAGCAGCGCAAAGGTCTACCGAGAAAACACTAGAGGAGAGGTTTTGCTCACCTGCGTAAATGAACAAATATAAGTGTCGCGAAGACCAAGAGCGCTGCTGCCAAACTGAGGGGGCCGACACAGGAAAGCCCGCTTTTGTAGTTTTCTCGGATGACGTCGCTGACGAGTCTCCGTGCAGGTGCAGAGCATCAACAGCGGATCTTGATCCAAGGCCGGCCGAGATATTGCAGATTCCCGTGTATACCACGTGGACAGCTGAGGGTAGGCGTATCTTTTCGGTCAGGTCGATGTCGGATGCCGGCTTCGGTGGACAGCGTTGCCCAGTTGCTCTGCGTAAATGAACAAACATAAGTGCTGCGAAGACCAAGAGCGCTGCTGCCAAACTCATCACGCTGCTGCCAAACTAGATCACTAGCACCCTCAGTCTGTCACGGAGGTGATGGCATAGACTGCTATCTAGTTAAGGATAGCTCGAAAGACGTTTGCAGCACTTTTGGATACCATGGCAAGCACATGTTTACCTGGGAACAATATGTTGCGCCATCTCCACGAGAACAATATCCACTTAAGACAAAGCAACACCATCTTCCGCTTTTCTTCGGGCACAGCATGATTGAGCGGTGCGGCTAGGCTTGTGATCCGCTTGGAAAGATGCATGCGGCAACAATGTTTTGTTCATTTTCCTGGGCTGTCAATGTCTCTAATACTGGGTCGAGACTTCCTCACCAAGCCAGGTATTGTCTTTGACATTGCAAATGGGAGTTATTGAGAGCACGATGTAGACGTGCTAAAGTTTTCTTGTAGGCACCCGCATTGACAAAGACATGCGAATTACAGGGAGATGCGAGAGTACCCAAGGAGGAAAGCACGCCGTCAAAGCGAGTAAGCCCACCAGAGCAATGTGCTGCTTTGCAGCGAAGGTCAGTGCACTCACTTTTGGTAGAAGCACAGAGCTTGTTAGGAGAAAGAGCACAGCTGTCGTGGCTGTTGTATGAGTACGGCGCGATATTCATTGGCCGCCAAGGCCGCACTACGCTGGTCAAGCACAAAATCGACACAGGTCACGCATGATCCTGAAAATTCAATTCCCGACCGATTAGCTTGGCTAAGTGGAAAGTACATGATGCCACCTTAAACGAACTCGTACACACAGGGGTAGTTGGGAGGTCAAACAGGCCTTGGGGTTTCCCGGTTGTTCAAGTTCCAAAGAAGGATCGTACCTATTTGCCTTTGTGTAGACTACTGCTGGCTAAATGAGGTTACGAAGAAGGACGCGTACCCTCTTCACTCCATTTCATTGTTAGCATCCAACCTAGGTGGGGTGAAGTATTTTACGAAAATCAGCTTTAACATACCTAAAAGGTCTTTTCAATTCAGGAGAATGTCTTTTGGGTTGGTGGGAGCTCCTGCTATGTATCAGAGGCTAATTGAGCGTGTTTTGAGAGATGCAAATTCGCAGCACGCCCTCACATATCTAGACGATAATTGGTTCACTCGAAAACGTTCGAGGAGCACTTGCACCACTTGAGAGACGTTCTAGAAAGGTTGAGGTCTGTGGGCATCACTCTGCACTCGAACAAAGCTCAAATAGCGGCAATCCAAATAACATTGTAGAGATTCACTTTTGACAAGGGTTGCATTTCGCTGAATTTTAGCTTGCAGGGATAGTCAGCTATCCATCACTGATTAATATCGATGAGCTGAGGCACCTTCTGAGAATGATGAGTTTCTATTGCCAATTCATTCCAGACTGTGCGGCTCTACAGGTGCCTTTGATGAAGCTCTTGAAAGATGGCTATAATTGGGCTTGGAGCCAAGAGCAAGAGGCTGCACTGCATTGCCTCATTAAAATTGCCGGCTAATACGGCTGAACTGCAGCTACCCGATTTAAACAGGATGTTTGTGACTCAGAGATGCAAGCGACCTGAGCTCAGGAGCATGAACGTGCTTTCCGGCCAATTGTGTTCGCGAGCCGTTTGTTATTGCCAGGGAGGAAGAACTCTGTAACAAAAAAGGAGTGTCTTGCTACAGTGTTCGCTCTCTGTAAGTTTCATAATTATACCGACGGAGTTGCGTTTGTGATTACGACTCACCACCGGAGCTCAGGTGGTTGAGGCGCTTGAATGAACCAAGTGGCCACCTGGCTCGTTGGGCATTGCTGCTGCAGCGTTGCGACTTGACCGTACGCTGCCACAAGGGTAAGAAAGATGCCGCTTTCGATGCACTATCGCATGCCTCAGTCTGACTAAAAACTAGTCACGAGTCTAATCCAAGGCAGATTGAGAGCGAGAGACTAGTGCTAACGTAAACAGCGGAGAAAACGCTAGTTTAAGGCAAAAGCATGAACCATGTTGAGGTTGTCGAAGCAGGGATTGTTTTCAGCAGAAGGCAGAAGGGAGCTGTTAGAAGTTCAGCAGAAATATTCATTTTGTCGAAAGGTGTTTGATGGGCTCCAGGAGCCTGGTGGCGGTGAAGCCACTGCGTACACGGAGGCAGCAGGTATTGTCATTGAGGAGCACTCGGCAACATCTAATGGCTTTCCGCCGAGGTAAATTCTGTCTGACAATGACATAGGTGCGTAGGTAGTGATATTGCGTTTGTTGGGAGAAGCACTTTGCTACTTTCATGACTCGTGCATTGCTGGGCATGGGAGTGGCCCCAAGACTTACGCTAAGTTGTGTCACCTTGCTACCTGGCCAGGCATAAATTGTGATGCGATTCGTCACACCCGGTCTTGTCACATGTGCCAAATCGTCAAACCCACTGGTGGACAACCGCCCAGCCTCACTTCATGCAGCCAATTAACAGCCAGATTCCCCCTCATGTCACGGCATGTGACGTAATGGGACCATACCGCACTACTCATAGCAGAAACAAGTTCTTGCTGGTGGTCACAGATCACTTCAGTAAATAGGTTGAACTTTTCTTTCTTAAGAAGCGGACGGCTCGAGTGATCTTGCAAAAAGTTGATGGATGTATCCACGAGGTTCGAGTTTCCTGAGCAGTCGATAACAAACAACCAGCCTTATTTCACAGCGAAGGTGTTTGTTAACTTGGGTGCCACATTGGGTATTAAACACACAAAAAAAAAAACAGTTACCTACCATGCTCAGCAAACCCCACGGAACGACTCAATTGCAACATAAAGCTCATGTTTGTCATGCTCTCTGAAAGGCATAAGCGCTGAGATACTTACCTTCTAGAGGTCGGGTTTGCATTTTGTGAACCGCTCGATTGGGTATGCGTTTTTTTTCTGAAACTTGGTAGAGAACGGCCGAATCTGATGGAGACGGTTCTCTGAAGTACTTCTGGCTTTCAGGCGTCTTGTTGCTGCAGTAGGCTTTTTCTTTAAAGCTGGTACTTCTGATGGAGATGAACCTTGAAAAGGCTTTGGGCTTTTCAGTGCATTGGCATATAGTTTTTGTCCACTGTGTAGCTCATTCTGCTGATGTTGTTGGGGGTGCTGTTCCGGCCTGGTGTTCTCTACTATGTCAGCATTAGCGGCTAGTCGGTGACATTTTTTGGTTTCATAGTGTAGATTTTTTTTTCTGCTCCTCTGCTGCCTTTTTCTGTGGACACTTTCCAAACAATGACGGGTGTGGTTCGTCGCACTTAGCAGCATTCTTTTTGTATAATTAATATGTTATGTATACTATTTGAGCTTGATTTGAAATTACTTGACCAAATCACTGTTTCATTCGAATTTGCTTTGAGCCTAAAATTCACAATTTGCACCAGCCTAATGTTCTGGCATGCATGCAGCATCATTGCAGCTGTGCTGCAAAGTAAGTTAAGAACTGTGGTGCAGGCAACGTCGTTTGCGGAGGCATTGTCCAAGGAGGTTGGTGAGCTGAAGGAGCAGTTGTCTGTGGAGCGCCGGGAACGAGAGGCCCAGGCAGAGAAGCAGGCAGAGGACCTTGCATGGCAGGTGGCCTCCCAAGAAAAACTGCAGCAGCAGGCACGCTCTGACAAGGAGGCCCTGGAGAAAGCGTTGCAGCGAGCCCAGGCACGAGCAGACGCTCAGGCAGACACGTGTCGCCGGGCCTGTTCGGATGTGGATGCATTGCAAGGTGAAGCTACTTTGGAGGTTCGGAGGCTGCGTCCGAATGTGACATTTGCAACTTCGCACATTTAAAACTGCATTTTTTTTGTGTTTGTGGCTAGCTGTAGCGATTGTAAATGTGTGTCCTTATGCATGCACATCACAGTGCATGCGTAGTCTGGATAAACATCAAGACTGATTGCCCCAGTCTCACTCTGCGGGAAATGTACCGAAACAGCAGAGCTATGGTTTTCTACGCTCCAGCTGCGCTTCCCCGTTTCCTTACGTGGTGACCACTTTGTCTGCTGCCAGGGCGCTTATGCCATCTATGGGTGTATATGGGAACTCGAGAGTGACACTGTGATCACTCATCAGTCATCCAGCCCAGCCTCAGAACCGCTCCGCTGCTAATAAAAATATCAACAAAGTTGCAAAAAAGTGGATTTGAAGTTTTGGGACACAGGTGCCAAAGGCCAAAGCTCTAACCATTTCATCCAGATGCATTGTCCTAAAATAAAAGCAGAGGGCAAAAAGACTGGACACTGGAAACAACTGTACGGGACCTGTCCATCTACTTGCCTGCTGTCTTTTTGGGTTCTGCTTTTATTTTAACTAACTCACCCAGCAACGCATTCTGTTAATATAGATGGATCAGGGGAAATATCTGCGTGTAAATACTGAAAGGTAATGGACTCATTTTCTTGCTTCACCGTCAGTGCTGGTAGTTGAGCGGGCTAACACTCCCAGCATTATATGGACAAAGTCTCTGCTCCCAATCCTGTAAGAATTAAGGACAAATAAACTTGAATTCAAATAAATACAAAAATGCTTGACAGAGTGGTTGGGAAAAGGAGTGCCACTGTTGGTCAATAATCAGACGACTCGTTTGTTTCAATGTCTACTGGTTCAACTGCACATAAATGAGCAAATTCAGAGCCTCTGTGCATTTTTCTCAATGTCATAGTTTCCTCAAGCATTCACTTTGTATGAGCCAACATCTCAAAATGCTTGTCTCTTCTTCACAGTGCTGTTGGAATGTTTCAGACTTGCTGTGATGCTATTTGCTTTGACATGGATACCATATATACTCGTGTAATGAATGCACGCTTTTTCCTGAAAAATTGAAGCAATATTGGGGGGTGCAATAATAATGCGGGGCAAATTTTATGAAACATCAGGAATGAGCAAGAAATGTAGTGATGCAAAAAAAAGTTATGTAGCTTATCTTTTTGCAATTGACATATGTGTATGCTGTTTGGAAACAGCTTTTTTGTTCCACTTCATTCATCTTCAGTGGTTGATAGTGCTATCTTCTGCAAGCTGTACCCATGCACTTCATTAAAGTGTTTTGTGGCTTTCATTTTTTTGCTATATTTTGTTTAACCGTGACAGAGCTATCATCTGTGATATCAAGGGGAGCCCGGAAGTGCATGCTACGACGCTAAGAGGCACTTCGCAAACTCTGTGCCAAGCTAACATGATGACAATGACGTTGACATTGCAGCAAGCTACAGTCGAACCCCGCTACAACGAAACTGGCGGGGTACGGAAAAAAAATTCGCTGAAACGAAAATTTCATTGTAGTGAAATCGAAAAAGTATAGCTGATCTGAGCTAGCAAAACAAAAAACGTTCATTCTCGAAATTCAAACAGTGTCCACTGCTTCCTATTCTTTTCCAGCAGCGTCACGACATGATTCTCACCAATGCATAGCAAGGCCATGGTGAAAAGCACACAGAAACGCGTAAAACCGCATTCGTGGACGAACCAAACTGTTGCATTAACACGTTAACACCAACAGCTGTCCGCCGTCAACGTGTATCCAACAACGCCGAGATGGAGGCAAGGTATCACGAAGCGGCAACTTCTATGCCGTTCTTATGATCTATCACTCGCGACCAGCTGATTTTGCTGATAATGCGGACGAACAGCCGCTCTGATTAGTTACCATAGTGGCGAAGCGCGAACATAATGATAAGCATCGGAAAAGGCATCGTTCCGCGGTTGCACCCAGCAGTTGCGTGATGGAAACCATGAACTGAGCTTCGGCTTCGGATTGTTTGCGGCCCAAAAGCAAGCAAGTGGCTTGCTTTTACTGCAAGCCAGTAACGAAAGCAGGGCAGTCTCATTGCCATCGCTATCGAGCAATGATGGTGACCATGCTTGTTGAACAGCTGTGGTTTCTGGCGGTGCCAAGGTGTGTTTCAGACTTCGTTGACACATTTTCAGGCTCTGAAAATGCATTGAAATGTTAAAAATTGGGTTTAGTGCATAGCAATAAGTATCTGAGCCTGGAATTGCATCGTAAAATTTTGTTGAAGCGGAATGACCAAAGAAAAAGTGTTCGTTGTGGTGACAATATTTATGCATTGACTATTATGGACTGCTGACTGGAAATCATGAATTTTTCGTTGTAGCGAAAGTTTCGTTGAAGCGGGGCGTTCATTGTAGCGGAGTTCGGCAGTACCACAAAAGCATGAAAACGAACTGTCGATAACAAAACTGACGACAAAATACAGCCGCTGCCTTGCTCTCCGTATGGGATGGCACTGTAAAAAAGGTAGCCTATATCTTACGTTCCTTGAGGTATGGGCAGATAATGAGCAAGAAAAGCAATCAACCGAAATAGGATTAGGGGTCTTAGCATGTTACGGAAAGCTCCACACTCTTTTCTAGGTGATAGTCGATATTTTTCTGGTTTTCCATAAATTGTGAAATGCATGTGACACAATGGCAATGGATGGCCCTTTCTGTCAGCAAGTTCTGCCGCTGTCGCTGAGATATCACATGCATGTGGTTGACCCTTAAAGTCGCTTCGTTTGCAGGAAGCGACTGTTGGAACGGCGTGGGAAAGTTCGCGACCTTCACTCACTTTGCGCTTGTGAGCCGCAATATCTCTACACTCGCACCGTTCGTGAATCTTTCCGTGGTATACGGATAATTGAAAAGGCAAGGGGCATGCTGTGCTTCGATGAAAGCAAAACAAAGAACTTCGTGGCAGTGGGTGTAGGTGTGGAGAGAGTGAAAAGGAAGGGGGTCGACGTAATAAAAACTGAAAAGATGATGGGCAAGGAGGCACCACGTGTTGGTTTGCAAGGCGGCAGTGTATGAGTAGAGGCGGTGCATTTGTTATTCGGAAGAAAAAAATCTAGATTTTGACAATGGAAATTAGGGGTGCATTTTTATGAGAGTGCATTAATAAATGAGTAAACGGGTTGATTGACACCATTCAGTTTATATTGTATATTACCTGGTCTCCACCTTCTGAGGCTCCAAAGCAGCCAACCGCTTTTACAGCTAGTTTCGTTCCCAAGAAATACTTTCAATTTTGATGCACTGGAGATGGATATGGGATGTCAGGCATAGGTCGACAAAAATTATGGAGCTTATTCAAACTCTCTGATGAGTGAGTGAAATAACTTTATTGCATCCACAATAGACGTGAATTAACTCAGCATGACCTGGCTAGGCCTACTCAGGGACGGTCAGGTTAAACCTGACCACCCTCGCCCTCGCGTGGGCGTTCTGGAGGTCCAAAATTTGAGAGGTGAGGTCCTGGGCCTTAATTAGCCTGTTCATTTCCTCTTCTTGAAAAGGGGGACTGGCAAAGGCACAGCCCTACAGGACATGCTTCAAGTCTGCATAACCGCCACACAAGGGGCAACCCGGGCTTGGGAACTGTTCGGGGTATAATGTGTGCAGTGCTGCAGGGCTTGGGTAGGTTCTTATTTAGAACAGTCCGAGAGTAACAGCTTGGGCCCTGCACAGCAAGGAGTGTGGCAGGGGCAGCACTCTTCTTGAGAGATATTTGTGCTTGCATATCTCGTTGTACGTGCAGAGATGCTTGGATCGCCCAGGAGATGGCACGTTAGCCTGCACACGGTCCGCCAAACCTCAAGCAGCCGAATTATCCTCCTCGTTCGGATTGATCGAAGCACCCTCAATGGTTCGAAGGCGTGCAGGAAACCAGACTAATGAGTGATTTTTTAGGTCTGTTTTTTTAAGATCTGTAGGACATGGGGAGCCATCATACCTATTTTAAATGCCTTAATAGCAGCCTTGGAGTCTGAATAAATTAAATCATGCACACCGTTCCTCAATGCAAGAGCAATGGCAACCTCCTCTGCAACGCTGGAGCTAGAAGTGCGAATGGTAGCGCAGCTGATTACTTCGGAATCACAGTCAACAACCACTGATTAGAACGCTTCTTTTTGAGCGTACCAAGCAGGCTCATTTCTTGTCTGGCACTGGCGAGCAGAGTTTTACCCCTTGCTCATCTTTGTGCTGCGTTGTAGGTCAGATGCATATTGCGTGGCATCCACTGTACGAAAATCTTGGACCCTGCTTCATGGGGCAGCTTCACGGCATCAGGACCGATGACCAGGGGATTGGGTCGCAGCATGCCGAGTATGACCCTACCTGCTGGTGTGCCGGACAGTCTAACAAACTGTGAAAACTCTTGGGCCTTGGCAATTTCTTCGAGTGTGTTGTAGATTCCCAGCTTCAGGAGGTCATTCCTGTGGGTTCGAACGGGAATGCCAAGGGCCAGCTTGAAAAACTCTTCTGATTAGGGCTCATCATTTATATTGGTATAGCCCACCACGACAAGGACATAAAAAAAGAGACGCACACACACAGCGCTAACTTGCTACTAATGTTTTATTTGCGATCACACATGCAATTTATACAATAACAGTAGATCGATAAAACGTAGAAAACATCATGTTTTCTAGGTTTCGAGAAGGCAAAAAAAAGTGGATCTTGATATATTTTCCCCGGCAAGAACGCATAAAGTTGACTGCCCTTTTAGAGTGATCATCTCTGAGAACGAAACCTGGCAAAAGTGCATTGCGTTCTTTCTACAAAAAAAATTTGAAGTTGATATTTCTTGACAACCCGTTTTTGGTGAGAAAGTCGGAACAGGTACTAGAGATCTTTTCGGAGGCAATGTAAACACGAATCTTATAGCATTTTTGATCGATGCTAAAAATTTTTATTACACCCTTCTTCAGGCCGAGTTTATGACGC